AGAAAAAGAGAGAAAAGAAAGAAAAGAAAGAAAGGGTTTTGGAAGGTAGCGAGTAAAAAGATAAACACAAGAAGTAGAAGAGCATATCGATTGCGTGTGGAGTGGAAATCGACCTCCATAGTAAAAATCTTCTTCTTCTCCTCCATAGTAGAATAGCATATCAGACGTCGTCAGCTTTTTCCTCTCTTTCTTTCTTTCTTTTGATCATTATCTCCCCTTTTCCTTTTCCAATAATACTGTTATCCAGTCGTCCTGACGAGTTTCAACATTGACAGGGAAGAAAGACACACTATTTTTCTTTCTTGCCTTGGCCTATAGCTACAGCTAGCTTTAGCTTACCCTCTTTTGTTATGTGTGCGCTTGTGGCCATCTCTCTCCCTCTCTCCCTCTCTCTCCCCCTCTCTCCCTCTCTCCCTCTCCTTCTCCCTCTGGCTTGTTGATATCTGTGTTCATGTATGTGCGTTTCCTTGCTTTTGTGTGCCTTTCTTTTTCTTTTCTTTAAAAAATAAGATAAACAATTTCTTAATTTCCACTCTTTTCTTTTGTATTATTGTATATACCATGAAGAAAATATAATATAGTTTATATGATGGTTTTGGGCTAATATTACTTTGTGTATGTATTTATGTAGGGTTGGAGTTGGGGAATTTTCCGGCAGAAGTGAGCTCGCCCGCGGTGTTTCGCTGCGTAAGAGTGAGCTCCATCGAGGACGACGATGATCAGTACGCGTATCAGACGGCTGTGAACATAGGAGGCCATTTGTTTAAAGGAATTCTCTACGACCAAGGCCCCGAAACCTCTAACTACAACATGAACATGGCTGCTGCCGCTGCTGCGGCTGAAACTTCATCTGGTGGCGGTGGAGTTAATATCCAGCCGCTCAATCTCATTGCTGGCGCCACCACCGCCGCCAACACAGCCACCATTGGCGGCGGTGATGACGAGGGTGTGGCGGGGGCTTCCACGACAGTTATAGATCCTTCTTCTCTATACCCAGCTCCACTTAACACATACATGGCTGGTACGCAATTCTTCCTACCACCAAGATCTTGATCATCATCATCAAACAAAAGTTTCTCACCACATTCTTCATCCTTCTTCTTCTTCTTCTTGACTGCCTGCTGCGGTCGACTTTGGCGTAGTTAGTTAGTGTGGACTCTCAAATATTTGATAATATCTTTGTAGCAAAATTGACACCCCCTCCCATTTGAACTAGCTTAGCTAGGAGAGCTAGAGAGAGAGAGAGAGAGAGAGAGAGAGTAGAAAGAAACGAACCAGCTTAGAGGAAAATGATGCGCAACAACGAACGAGTTTGTTTTGTTGACAGTTTCCAATGCTTGTTAATTAGTTAATTTAAACATGATCATTATTATTCTTCGGTCTGAATTATTTTCTTGTTCAAATTCAAAGATGTTAGTGTTTACTTGATTTCTTCTTCTTTTTTTTGTTTAAATATATGATTTTGTTGTGTTTGGTGGGTATTTTTTCCTCTCCTGGTTTGAAACCCCGTAACACGTTTTGGTTGGATTTGAACTTGGAAGCTGCTTTATTTCCTGTTTACTCGTATGTTTGCCGGTTTGAAATGAATCACGAAAACTTGGTTTCTTCTTTTGTTGGACAAACTTCAAAGACTTCTTGTTTTTCATTTCGGTATGGGCGGTCCAGCCATGCATGACCAGCATTCAAGTTCAAAAGGTCAAGCAACCCTCTCTCTCTCTCTCTCTCTCTCTCTCTCTCTCAATTAATATTTTACTTCGTTTGACCCTAATCGTAAAATGCATAGATGCGACCTTGATGTTAAAATGGGAAAATTTGCTTACTATCTGCAGTGGTTTAATGCTTCTGCAGGAAGGTATATATAATTACAGAAAATGCTTCACATTTTTTGGAATATATATATGCACATGAACTTAAATAATATTGTTACTTACTGTATGAAAATTTAGGAATTGTAAAGAAAGCAGACAATTGAAAGGCTTTCCTTAGTTTACAAACTATTCTGACCGATTGCATGTTCTCTCATTTTTCATACATCAATGGTCTCTGCAGTTATCTATTTCTCCCTTCCCATTAGAAGCCCCCTTTAAACCTTTTAATTTCAGCTTTGCTTTGGTAATCTTCTTTTGTGCCAAAATATAAATGAATATATAAATTTAAGAGGGAAACATTCTAAGATTGATTAATTAGATAGTAATAATAGATGAGTTTTTCGAGTGTTGCAAGAATTTTAAATGAAGAAAGAATTAAGAATAAAAACTTGAAAAGGAGTCATCTACTAATCATAAATCAAATCTCTGTAAAGCCTATTTAAAGTAACTGAATGCACAAACACATCCCTAAACTCTACGAGCATCTCCAACATAGTTGCTATACCCTGATCCTCAGTCATTTTGGCTAGAATGAGGGTAAAACGCAGCTCCAGTGGACTTGCTATATGGCTCTCTATTTTGGAGAACTCCGTATTTGAGTTTGGTGGTTCTCTACGTTTGGAGGAGGACAGAGAAACTGAGGGTTCTCCATTTCTTTCTCTTCTCTCTCCCTAGGCACACAACCCTCACTCACCTCTTACTTTTGACTTTTTAATGAACTTTTTAGAGGGGAGGAGAGGAAACAAAATAAAATATTAGAGATTAACCAAAGTAGAGAACATTGCGGGATGAAACTACTTTTAAGTAGTTTGCTATACCGACTTTCTAGCTAATTTAGCTAAAATTTGGAAACTCACCCGGAGATGCACTAAATCTTAAACCTTAATATGAATACGATGAATTGGTAATCAATTCTGAAACATGTACATGGTTTTAAACAAAACCTTCTTGTTGAAGATAATGGAGAGATCTCCTACTTAATTAATATAGGTTAGGGAAATGATAATCAAATCTTACTGGGGAATACCTTGTATTGCATTACATGTATACTTGAGCCAAATCTTACTAGGGAATACCTTCTATTGCTTACTAGTCATTTAACTTTGATTCAATGGACATTGGTGAGTAGAAACTTATATGATATATCTAGCTAGCGGTCTGTCAACTATATATGATCCATTTCTAACATATGTGATATATGCAGAGAAGATTTAAACACATCACAATTTTACACTATTTCTGACAATAATGTTGTAGCTACATCTCTCTCTTTCTGTGTGTGTGTGTGTCAGTCTCTGCAGTTTGGGTTTTGTTAATGGAGCAAGTTGTTCCAATCTTTGAAATAGCCAAATTATTTGTGTATGAATCAGTGATAGTACTAGTCTAAATTACAGGGAGAGGTTTTTCACACACACACAACCAAGATGCTATAAGAGTTTGAACTTGAGACCCTCTTATGTGCAAGTCAAGTCTCTTTTCCACTAGGCTAGACCGAATTAGCCTCATATAAGGATTTGCAGGAATGCAGGAATGCAGGAATGCAGGAATTGGTTAGTAAGATTGTAGATATTCAATGAAAAAATTTATAACCGAGGACTTTATATCGACAGGTACTGCTTTACAGTAGATAAAATAATTGCACTTGAAATTATTTTGAAGTCCAGAGAGGGTGAATATAGAAATCAAGTTGTCTCCAAACAAAGCTTTCTTTTTTACCTTGATATAATTTTATGAGGAGTAATATGTGTATGACATGTCCTGTCAAAATAATTGAACACATAAATTTGTCACATCAGAAAAACAAAAAATAAGACAATAAAGAAAGGAATGGAAGTAGGTAAAACTAATGTGAAATTTACCACATGAAATGATGCCAGCTTCTCTATCTGTCACCCTCCCGTTAAGTCCTCCCTTAGTTTTCCTCACAATGATATACCTAAAAATGGGTCATAGTATATCATTTATGTGATAGTTTCATTGTGATCAATAAGTTATCATTTTAAATGAATAGGGTAATCCTTGTTACAAATTCAATGTCCATTATATCAAGATATAGTTTAGACACAGTTTATTTTCAAGCCTTGCACAAATTAAATACGAGAAAAAAAATAAAATGATATTTTCTAGTTACTTTCTCTACATTACTAAACATGAAAAATGGTTCATTTCCCATCCCTCCGAAGATATACGGAAAATGATTTCATGCGAATTTCTTTCCATAAACTGAAAGTTTCTTAAGTGATGACTCTAAAATGAATATGGTATATTCTTGTTACAAATCCAGTCTCCATCATATTGACATATAGGAAGAGGGAAAGAGCCAGTTTAGATTCGAAGGGAGATTTCTGTGGTCTATCCATGTTAATGCATGGAATGAGAACTGATTGAGATGTTTCTGTAGAAATTAACCCAGGTCTATGAGTGATGTATCATATCATTTTATGTGCACTTCTTCTTCTACAGGAAGCTAGAAATATATCACATCACGTTTTCTGGTAAATTACAGAAGGGCTTTTCTTCCGACATGTTTACGGCTGGGAATATAAAGCAAATGTGTTACTACAGTGGCGCCATGTGATGCAGCTGTTTTATTGTGGCTTCTTTCCCTAGGAAAATATCTCTTTTCTTCTTTAAATAAACAAAAAATTTACTGACTGGCCAACAGAAAATAAAAAAAATTTGCTCTTGGGATTCCGTAGGAAAATACCTAAATTGCATTTGCCAACTACCCCAAACCAAATTATTATGTTTGTTGAAAAAAAATATCATTAGTATATAATATAATATATAGGGAAAGCCAGGCATTCCCAATGCAAAAATAATTGATATTACTTTTACCAGAAATAATGATGAGAATGACGCCCATGTTTTTTGGCTCAAAAAAACCTTCCACTCAGAATAATATCATGTTTTCTTGAGCAGCACAAGATCCAGAATAAATATTCCTTCCCTGGGACAACTGCGCAAGTTTCTGTCGGGAATTGAATTTTCAGTATTTGTATTGTATCCATCCATTTTCTTCATCGACTGTTTCCCATTTAAAAGTATCTCTCAAGAGCCTATTTGCCATGAAAAATGAAAAATATCAACACGTATTGTATTCTAATTAACATATGTACACTGCAAGTATTGCGTAGAGTGGAGTGGTAATATCATCCTCGTATTCACATGGACACATTAAAATGCTACGTTTTCCGTCAAAATACGTACAAATATACAATCTGTAGTCATGTAAATGAGTAGGTTATTGTCAATCGGGACATTGATCAAGTGGAACTACTTGTAATCTAAATGCTTAGTTGAGAAACAAAAGCTCAGATTTTGGTTAAGTTGACCTAAGTTGCACCGATTAAATGTTAACGATATTCAAACTATATATAGTTTGCAAATGCATGGAAATTGTTGCCCGACTGCGGTCTAGCTGTATTTGTATACGCTTTAGACCACAGTTTTTCTATAGCCGCTGACAGGCGACTTTCTTTTACTATCTTCCAAATACAATGGAAAGTTTGTCTTGTATTAGGGAAACCAATTTGCACCTATAATTTCTCCAATACTTGACCTACGTACATTCAACTACTTCCTTTTTAAATTCCACCATTTTTGCCTAATTAATTCACTTTATCTTTATATGCCCCAAAATGAATTTGACGTTCAAGAAGGTATGTTCTAATCTAATCATATTATTTTGTATATGTAATATTATTATTCTGCAAATCAGATAGAGTCACATCAAATAATGTTATCACAACTACAACATTTGCATTATTCTTTACTCTATTATGGCACATTTTCTCAATACAATTATGAGAGAGCGTAAATCATTTAAGGAGGAAAATGATAGGAAGAATGGGACAATTAATACAACCGGGGTAGGGAAGTATTTATCCCACTAAAACATTGCTAGCTCTCTCCTATAGCAGGAAAGCTTTCAACAGCCTGTAACCCAACAGCTTTATTACTGTGTATCACATAATCACGGTCTAGAATATCTCAGACTTGTGTTTGCCACCAGACCAGCTAGCTAATAGCTCTCTCTCTCTCTCTCTCTCTCTCTCTCTATATATATATATATATACACACTTGCTTAGCTACTTTGGTCAGTACAGAAATGGGCAAGAAAAACCCAGACCCATATTATTAGGGTTCTTGTAATGTTTGGCAGTGAATTTTATTTGGCCTTTAATTTAATCTTTGCACATAAGATATATATTTATGTCTAGGGACCCATAGAGCAATATAGTTAAGCACCAGAAATAGCTAGATTCCCTAGTAAGCCAAGCCATGGCACAATCAAAGAGAGCACTAGGGTTTGTTATGGTATATTAGGGCAATCATAGGCAGGCGGGTTGGCATGCATTTTGATCAGCTCTAGGGTGGTAGAGTAGAGTGAGCCCAAGAAAGACATAATGTGGTTTTGTGTGTGTGTGTGTGTTGGGAAGCCATTAGTGAATTATTGTGGTCCCTCAACAAGTGCAATTCTGCTGCAAAAAAAGCTAATTTTGCTTTGGTCTTCTCTCTCATCTCAACTAGCTGTTTTCCTCCGTCCCGAGCCCTATTTGCAAATTCTGAGAAAGCAGTAGAGACTAGAGAGAGAGAGAGAGAGAGAGAGAGCAAATTGGTGCAAGTTAAGTTTTGTTGTTGTTTCCATAATTAACTCGAAAGCCTGTGTGTCTTCTGTCAGCAGCACAAAACAAGGCTGCAAGTAAAAAGGGGTTGAAGCCGTGACTTTTGAGGCACATTTTGGAAGACCAAGCCTTGTTCATCTGCGATGAATTGTCTCTTCATGGACCAGTAAATATTCTTTTGGTTGCTTCATCTCTCGACCGTTACTTGTAGTTTATTTTTATTTTATCCCTTCCAAAATAGGTTGACAACCCGTGTTGCAAAACCACACACAAAATCAATTTGAAGAAATTAATTAATTAAAACCCATCTTACTATAATTTAATATATATTTAAAAAAATTCAAAAATAAAAACCTTTCCCCAGGTTTTGGATCCACGAACAATGGCATCTTTGGGTATACTTGTTTGTATTGACTTTAGTCATAAGGTGCTTGAATGAGACCTAGACCTCCCACTAGCTTTCTGCCCCACGGAATTTTCTTGTGGCAATATCTTACTTTTCTCCAAGAAATCTCTTTGAAATAGATTGATATGGAGGACCTTTCTGAAATGACATGCATGAAAGTGAAAGCCATTTGGGATTTAAATAGAATGTCGTGAGAGGTCTGTCAACATTTCAATATAATGACATATGTATGTACTGAAATGCCTTTTTTTTCTTCTCTTTTTTGGTAAACAAAGAGAATTAAGTTGCACTCAATCAATCAATGAGAGCGGTAATTCCAATCGCGTTGTATATCATTTTTTGTGCTAAGTGTTATTTTCAACAATCTTTTGTACTAAAGTTCGTAGCTGTTTGGAAAGGACCACTAATGTAGTGGTTTGGAGCAATTGCTCCTTGAAGGAAAGGTCCTGAGTTCAAGTCCTAGCATTCGTGTAATATGTGTGAGTTTAGCATACTATCACCCCTTTCAATAGGAAGGTTCTCCAAAAAAGAGTTCTCCAAAAAAGAGTTCGTAGCTATTTCTTCTTTGAAACCTACTAAAAGTTCACTAGATTGGCATGATTTAGCTGCACCCACCCATTTGGCAAGCACCCTTCGGCAAGAAAAAGGAGACCCAAGAATTCATTAGCAAATAGAAAAAAAAGTAACTTGGAACGTCGCGTGAAGAACAAAATTAGGAACCAATAGATACACGTAATTTTTTCGACAAAAAGAAAAAGCAGGGGTTGAAATACAGCATATAAAGTTTAATTTGTAAGCTTATGAAAAATTAGATGAAAGAGGAAGCAGAACAGTAAAATTTATATACCAAAATTTTCTATATTAAAAAGAAAAAAAACAGTGAATCAGTCTGAAAGCTTCCCTCAAGTTTAAATATAAGGCTTTTACATGCAAAGCTAACAGGAGTAAATGAACTGCTACAGGAGTAAGGCAGAAAACACGGGAGGCAGGTCTATGGCAGCTCGTCAATCAGATGATGTTTCTAAGGCTAAAGGATACAACCCTCCGTCAGGCTTATGCCAATTTTACTTCATCAAAGGAAGATATCAATGAACTCTCTTTGCTTCTTCAGGGCTGTGGCAATCATTCGTTTAGTATATTCATTATGAAAGCAGTGCTGCTTTCACTGAGCAGATGAAGCACGGGGTTTGCCCTTTATGGAGTTGAGGTGTTGGGTAACAAATACGACTCCCATTACAAGTATGAGGCAACCAACCAGGGTGCTGAAGAAGAGGGCGCCTGGTTGCCTGGTCTGTACGAACCCGTACACCCCGGTGTTGGTCACAATGATAAGATCAGTGAGGCCATCGTTCGAGAAGTCCTCAGTGACCAGGGCGTGTGTAGGTGGTGCTGGAAGGTCAACTGATGTTAAAATACTTCCTCCAGGAGATATCACAACAGCCTCTTGCTCTCCAGCAGCAAGGATCACTTGTTGATTATCATGGACTCGTAACAAGAATGACTTCAGTGTAGGTATCACTATACCAGATTCCATCATCCCTGATGGAGATGGAAGATTTGACCATATAGCACCCGTCGAAAGCTGCCACTGCCAAACAGCACCATGACCATGCAACCCAGGGGAGTATGATGTTACCTGAGAGAAACAACACTTTTAAGATTCCAACTCAGCGTAAGAAAACAGAAGCCTGCACCTTGCAGGCTAACAACTGAATTATGTAAGCAATCCTGTGGGATTCATTTGAGCACCTCGAAATATAATCGTCCCAATCCATCATGCAAGGAATTTGTAATAAGCATAAATTATGACAGATTGGATAATCAACGAAATTTCATTCTGAAAACGTCCCAATTTGATGCCAACATTCTAAAGGTTCTAGCAACTTTTGGAGTGATATGACAACTATAAAGGCCAAACAACTTTTTGGTGCAATCTTAGATTCGTGTATTGAAATTAGATTCAAAACCATTTTGATCTGATAATCCAAACAAAGGTCCATTCTCAAGATAACCACAGGAAGAAGACTAAAAGGACCCAGATTAGCATGCATACCTCACCACGATTTGTCAAGAAGACAACATCACCATGGCTTCCCTTACGATGCCTATGGCCATCACTTCTTGGGATGAGAATGGGAGTTGCTACCTCCAATGAAGCTAAATCATGAGTTCGACCAAAGTTTCTTGAATATTCTCCATGTTGGAATAAGTTAAAAAGGGAATGATGGCATATAGAAGCATTAAATAGTTGTTCTCGTACAGGTACACCAGAGGTCGCAACAGCCCAACAGGGGCGGAGCACTTCCATGGATCCACTGGCAACAGTCTGCTCAGCACCATTTCCCCCTACAGCCTGAAGAGAAGGAACATATTCTGTCACGCTTTTAACCCAGGATTCAGCCAATAACAAAATGTAATATTCAAAGGAAAGGCCACCACTTGATTGAAATTCATATGCAAAATAAAATTAGCCACGCATTTTTTGTGGTTGCAGTCACCAATCATAAGATACATATCATTGTGCTTTAGATCAAATTTTATCCATATAATTGCACGAAAGGGCTGGATTAATGTAAGCTAAATTACTCAGCATGCTCCCTGTACATCACTGAACCTCTAAATAAATGGGAAATTGAAGAGGTAGGTAATCAAAACTCAACAGACATTAACTTCCAACATCCACTGAGCAGCTTTTGTTCATTTATTTGGCTGTTCAAGACCAACTGCAGTTGAGATATAAGACTAGAAAGCAAAGAGATATGCACCTGGACATGATCTAGGACTCCATCGCCATTTATATCAGCATGAAGGCCACCCTCTTGAAGATGAAGCTGGTGAGATCAACAAATTTTAATTTTACGGGCTAAGGCAAATATAACATAAATCTTACTCAACACAACATAGTTTAAGCAGAATATATTAATGTAGAGAAGTATGTCCACATTAGATACATAAGCAAAAGGTGGTGACCTAAAACCACAGGAATATTTCCAATTAAAAAAATGTTTAAAAAAAAGGGACTGAGCTGAAGCAGGGTGAATTATCTCAAAATTGAATTAAAAAAAAAAAAGAAACACGGTTGGCCATTTGTTGCCCAAACAGAGGCATGAACAGCTATTATATCAAGTGTAATTTCACTTTGGTTATGGCACTATGAGGGAAATTGTGTGGGCATTTTGTTTACCTTACAAAAAGTGCGACCAGATGCTAAGTGAATAGCTTCTATTCCTTCTTTTTGATGAGCTACAACAACATTAGGAACCCACCAAAGTTGTGTGTGGTTTGTTATGGTAGGAATATATGGAAATGGCTGCATCAGAAATATAAGCAGGTTAAAAAGCCATTTCAAAAGACAATAAAAAATTCTACCATAAGTAGTTCACAAGTCACACCTTCTTAGGTTTTGCAGAGCCAGCATACTGTGCAGCTTTTCCAATGAAGTTAGAAATTTTTTTTGTTGAGTCTTTTCCAGGAAGATGGTTTTCTTCAGGCTTGTGGAAAGGGTAGTTAATAGTCTTTCCAGATGTTCTCTTCAATATTTTCCTTTTGTGCCTCTTGAACCTTGCAAGTTCCAACAAAGTATCTTCTCTTCTATCCTGATGATGGCACACAAATTGGAAAATCACTTGCCATCTAAAAGAAATACAATGAATAGAACAAAAGTTCAATGAATCGAGTAAAAGACAGTATTTTTAACCTACCCAGTGATGTGGCATAACTCCAAGGATAGATTCTCTGAATTCCCTACATTCAAACTACAATTTAACCTGTATCAGGGAGCTTATCTCACAAAAACATATCAGAAATTTGACCCCAACAAGAATGAATCATAAGAAACTACAGCAACAAGAGAGAGAGAGAGAGAGAGAGAGAGAGAGAGAGAGAGAGAGAGAGATTTGCTCATTCAGGCCCATGTCAAGGCAGAACTCAAACATGTTATATGTTTGGCCCATTTCACAAAATTACTATACAAAAAGCAATGAGTATAGGGACAAAGACATCTGACATTGAGCAACAGAAACAGGTAAACCATGCCATTTTATAAAATGGCAGAATAGCATACCTCTCCTGGTTGACGACTGTTCAAAGCCTGAACATCAAGCTTGTAGTTATGCTGTGGAATTAACCGTGATGCATCTGAAGAATGTTCTTCGATATTCTAAACAACCAATAATATAATTAGCTACTTGAGAAGCCAGATAGTTCAATAAGCTTAACCAAAAGATAAATCATCTATTTGAGAAGAGGTGGACACTAGGTAGTAGTGTAATAGCAACGCTCATAAATTAGACCCTACGATGAAAGCTTCTTGCTTCTACACCTGCTAAACATTATACAAGAGAAATTCTGGACATTTTACACTAAAAAGTTAATGTCTTGAGTGTTTGACAAATTGATGATATATTACAATGGCAGCACAGTTCTAAGTGTTTATAGACTGATATAAAATTCTAGGAGAGGTACTGAAGTATCTACACACCAAAGCTCAATGAAGATTAGTATTATAATGGAAAGCAACCCACGTTAATAGTTCTATTTTTGGACTCTTCAATAGTTTTCAATGAGTCTGCGACATACTTACTGATACCCAAGTTGTACACAAAATGGAAAAGGACAGGGAAAAGAGTCATCCTCCAAAATAGCAAAACCTCAAGAAAAAGGAACTGACTTTCTTTTCATGGGGAAATCCTTTTAGCATGTCATGAAGCAGAAAAGTGCCAAAATAGGAAGCATGTGAAAAAAAAAAAGTAACAATATAAAGCACCTCATTCTTTCTGGTCCATCGAATTGCTCCAGAGTCACCAGCAAATGCAAACAATGCAAAATGGCGTAAATCCACAGTTCCTGAATTCTCAGAAGCCTGAGACAAATAGAAATAATCATCAAAACACTCTACTACTAATAACCAAAAAACAAAACTCTACTATGAATAACTAAACAGAAAAAGAACTCCAGCTGTTATTACTGGCTTTCTATAGTTCATCCATTTAGAAGCTCAAAATATAAAGAGAACATATACACTATCATGCCTTACACCAAAAAGTTATAATGCTTCAGTAAATGTAAAAGACTGAAAAACAAATTATCTACTCTAACCACAAAAAGAGTAATTATGAAATCATACAAGACTTTTTCATGCATAAGCCAAAAAATGCTTTTACCTCCTTTTCAGTCAGATTTCTTCTATGCTGATCAGCACTTCTCTCTGCCCTCCCAATTTCTTCAAAAGGGTCCAGGGAAATCTAAAGATCACAGAAGAAATTATTTCTAAGAACATTGAGGAATGATTAACATTTAGAGTCATCAGATTAAACATTAATACAGCATCAACAGGTCAAAATGCAGATGCAGGAATGCTAAAAGTTTGTGATGACATTGGATGCAGGACTTCTAAAGTTAGTGGATAATGCCTCGGCCATCATACCCGATGAATTGTTTAGAAGTTATGAATCAAGAAGATGGCCTGCAAACTTTGTAAACAACCTTGGCGGTTGGGGGAATTTGTAATCATACATGCTTTATCCATTACTTCTCCATAACGGAAACCAGAAAGAGAAGTTTGACTTGTCAACCCAGAATAAATGTAAACAAAGTTAACATAAATACAACAAAAAACATACATGAGGCTGCATTTCCATCCTTCCACCAACAATCACCAATCCTGTATCCCCATGCCTCAAGGTGTAATTGCTTATGGAGATGGCAATCTCCCTATGATGAGCATTATGTGGAAAATCCTCCTGTGGAAATGCCAATAACAAGAATGTGCATTAAAACAAAAAGCACCATTACGTCACTGGTAGCTAATGAGCCAAGTAACCATTTTCCAAGAAAGGTGTGAACAAAATTGAAACTTGCCACAAACCTGCAAATTGACTTCCCAGAGCTTTTTGAGGTTGGAATCGAAGCACATGACAGACCAACCCGATGTAACAACCACCAAAACCTGCCTGGGTCTTTGCCCGGGTCTGAGCTTGTCGATAACCCCGGTAGCCATTGCCACAGGGCGTCTGCCGGAGGATATGCGGATTTTGTCAGGCAACAGGCTCACCTCCGCAAGCACGCGAGCATTACTGAATCCTTCATCCACACGCCTACTATGAGGCTCCAAAACCTAATGACAACAATAACACAAAACCCCCAACCATAGCCAACAAGTAAGCAACAACACTGCTTGTTATTAAAAGAAAGCTAACATGAAAATGAAGTGAAAGAGTGAGAGAGAAAGACCTGGATTTTGGCATCGTGGCTGGCCACGAGGACTTCTTTCTTGCCGTCACCGTTGAGATCGGCGACGATCGGCGGAGGGAGACGGTCGGCTTCGTACTTGATGGGGTAGTCATCGGAGAGATGCATCCATGCCTCTCTGAACGAGAAATCACCCTCGTGCTGAAATTCCAAAAACAAAGCCAATCAGAAACAATTCAATTCGATTAAAAAGAATGAAAAATTCGTTCGTGCTTAGGGTTTGTTAGGGTTTTTGGGGAGCTGACCTGAAGAGAAAAGAAGATGGCGAAAGCAGAGAGCATGAGAATGGCCAAATCTCGCTTCCTCATGTTGAAGCCACGTCCAGTGAGAACCCAATTTTGCAGGGGCTACAGTGCTTGCTTTGCTTGCTTAGCTGCAGAGTTGAGTTGAGCCTCTGAGTCTCTGAGACCGTGAGGCCGTTACTTTCGGCTAGATTTTACCTCCAGTTTCGGACGACGGCGTTCTGACTTCCGAAACCCCTTCCTCCCTCTTTGGCTTTTGCCACGTTCGTTAAGGCAATAGACTACTGCAACGGTAGTACACGTCACCATTTCTTTCTTTTTTTATAATTACATTTTTGCTCATCACCAATTTGTATGTTTAGATGGAGAAAAATAACTAGGAATTTACCTAAGAGTTGGGAATTGAAGAGTGGAAATTGATATTTCTATTGTTTGTCAACTTAAGCAAGGAACTTATTAGATGACATGCGGAAAAAATCATAGAAATTGGGGATCAAAATTCACAAGTTTAATTTCCGCCATAAGAGGCGTTATTTCGCAATTTCTATTGAGTAGGAATTCATTTTTCATTGTAATTTCTGTCATTTAAAAAATTCAACATATATAAATCCAAATATTGAAATTATTAATTGTCAAAAATTTAGACGATAAAGATCTAAATTCTGTCATTTAAGAATTCTATGTAATTTTCAATTCCTTCACCCAAAGAGAGAGTTAAGAGTCAAAAATGTTAGCTAGAGAATGTCTTAATCTTCGACCCAAAAAAAAAGAGAGGCAAGGTCTTAATCGACCTGATGGCCCCAGTCCACCCCGCTGCTCGTGCTAATAAGGTAGTCCAGGCCAACCTTTCCAAGAATGAAGCGTCTCACACCACAGAGTCGAGGCAAAATCGTGGCTTCTTGTGCTATACTCTAATTGCAAGGAGAAGTTCTACCCGATGGAAGGAAGATAAATTCTTTCTGATCAAGGGGGCTTGGCCAGGTGAAGAGGAAGAGGGGCAAAGGGAAGAATGGGGCTTGAAGGGCTAGGACCTGAACCGCCAGAGATCTCTTTACAAGCTATTGTTGGCCTTCGCACACCGCAGAGCATGCGAGTTTAGGGACTACTTGAAAGAAAAGCCATCACCATTCTGATTAGGGACTCGTAGCTCACTGAACCTGAAGTCCTGTTTTTATTCCCTCTTTTCCAAAAACCAAAAAAAATATAATCCATATTAATCATATTAATCATAGTCTATATATTATAGTCCTAAAAATATTTTGGACTGTGCCCGCCAATTCGCACCCATGACATTAATCTGTAGTAATCTCGAGGGAGAAAACTAAGGCAACAAATTGTGTAAATGAGCTAGCACTGTAACAAAAGAAGGCAACTTAGAGAATAAAGAAGCTTTGAGGCTTCCAAAGAGTTGCATTCATTTTTTTACATTTCATTACATACGTTCATGTACATTCTTTTGTAGCATTCTTCAAAAACTGCTATTGTATCCAGAGCTAAGGTGGAGTAGGCCTGTGAAGCGCAGTTCAAAAGCACAAAAACACGTGATCTATAGTTAGGGTCTATACACATTCAGAAGGAGAAGTGTCGGCAGGTAGACCTCTTCAACGTTGGTCTAGTTGCAGTGACTGGTTCAGAATGTAGTTCTGAGATTTTATCAAACCGTTTCGGTAGGTTGTTTCATTATCTTTTGCTTCCTCTTTGTCTCTAAATATGAAACAAGTTGAGCGCTCTTCCTTTTGGCCATCTCCAATTCCTTCTCTAGGTTTTCAATCTGTTTCATTCCAGAAACAAAAGGCAAAACTCAGTATCCCATTATTCAAGTAACTCAGGCAGAAAGTTGAAGTGATGAAGTATGAATCAAAGATGTAATTTGGATACGAGTTTATACATACCGTCTGCCTCAACTCAGTCTCCTTCTGCACCTGTGCCTCACACCTGTAGCAAAAGGGTTTTGTTGGGTTCAACACAACAAAATCATAAAGAGCCACATCATATAGCATGTGAATTCTAGCCCTACCCCCAACTAATATGTCTGGTACTTGAACCTAGAGGTGTTCATAACAAGGACCTACAAATGAATTCCAGACTATTTTATCAAATATAAAATTAAAATGATACCTCATGAAAAGTTGTATATTCTCTTCACATATCTCATCAACTGACATGGGCTCTCTATTGTCGGAAGACATCACTACTTCCGATGACTTCTGCATTTGCATTCAACAATGTAAGAATATTTCAACCAAAAAGAAAACTAAGGTAATGATACAGAGAAATAGAGGATCCATTGTGGCCTATTCCCCTAGAAACCATCGTACACAAGACAACATTTTTATATTTTATAAATGTTTGTGAACATGAGTGTGGTGAACCTGCTGATACAATGTTCACCTAAAACTTCAAGTGGCTGTGTCAATATATTCACAGTTAAGCATTTCAGGTGATTATTGGTTAATGGTATGTTCCTTGTTTATTTACTGACAAATAAGATTTTTCAAGTTAGAACTAATTCCTGCACATTGCAATACATAACAACATATGATAGTCATAGGAAAAAATGAACATTGCAAACATTTAAGACACTGAAGCTAGTGACCAGACTGTCAGCAAACTCATCAACATAACTCCTCAGCCATTTGGACATCCACGGTAAGGAGTTTAACCAAGAATGTTCCTAACCTGCATGTGCTAGCTGTCAACTATACTAAATAGATTGGGATAACAGTGCTAAGAAGCAAACAAGAAATCACTTACACTTCGCGAATCATTTTGAAGGACATTAGCAGAAAGACCAGCCATAGTTTGATCCAGATGCATATCTTTTGGTGTAACTCCAACAGAAGGTTTAAAAGTCTGATCCTTCTGCAGGTTGTGTGCACCAATGGGCTGATATCCCACAAAGTGACAATTGGTTTTCCTGTCTTGTCCAGAACAATTTCCACAACTCAGACCAGTGTAAAAATACGTCATTCCGTGTTGGAAAAACACATCAAACTAAAGTACACCAAACCATGTGTGTTTGTGTATGAGAGAAGGACGTATGGAAAGCATAAATGGACACTAGTAGAGCGATTGATAGTACATTGACATATTTCATGAGAGAAACCCTTCTGATGCATAAATGTATACTACTAGATAGCACACCTAATATTCCATTCATCTATAAATGCCAAGGGAAAAATGCTTGGAATCTAAAATGGAGACCAAAGTTTGCTTCTATGGTGCACTCGTTTTAACTTTTATGAATGTCTAGACCTTCAGTGGCATCAAGCTCCAACTCATGGAGTGGAAGCTTCTTCCCTGAGACCACTTTATAATGGATAAAGAAGTATGCAATTTTCATTTTTATTTTTGGATTTAGTATTGTTTACTTCTCTTTTATGCCTGGTATTTCCTACATACACCCCCCAGTGCGCCTATGATATAAACCCTTTTGCACCTTTTTAATGGAAGTAACTTACCACCAGTTTCTTTTTCTTTTTTTTATTAGGACCAAACATCCTCAACACTGAAACGACAAGAGTGTGGATTGGCGCAGCTAAAATGCTATCCCTAGATTCCCTACCCTTATGGGCAAAAAGTTGCCTGTAAATTGCAAGTTAAAGTAACTCACCAGTACTCATTTACCATTTGTTTCAGCCTAGATTCAAGACGGAAAAACAATGAAGATCTCTCAAAATCCTGCTTATCATGTGCTGGCTCTATAAAATTTGCTTCAAGAATTCCTGTAATATGTACATTAATAAAATTAAGTAAATGAATACATCCAGAACATATCTACGTGAGAAATACAGAGTTAAAGAATGATACCAACAACACCGTTCCCTTTCGAAGAACCATCAGCTGTGACTTTCCAAAAGGGCTGCAACAATGTAAATAAACTCACTGCCTTAGTAAACTAATTGGAATTACTGGCCCACAATTACACAATGCTCATCCTTATCATGTAACCAACTTGGAATCCCATAAACTTTCATGGAAGAACTCAGCTGTACAGGGATCAAAATAATCTACCGAAGTTCAGAACGCTGTGTGACTAAAAATTAAATTCCGATCTTGAACTTCCATATGAGATATATTAATTCACAGCGAAAGCAACGTAAAAATCAAATACATAGAAAGTGCACTTCAGCATTATCAAAACATACCCTGATGAGGCGATTTTTATGGTACAGGTTGAATCCACTAACTCCAAGATCAGGCGCCTCCTTTATGAATCCAATGGTTGTTTCCACTATAACCTTAAACAACGAAATCATGATTTTAAAACCTACTCTCTTTGTTTTTTCAAAACTATAGAACTTCCACAGTGACTTTTATTCATACACTTGAGATTACTTCTCCAAAACCTCAAGAAAACTTCAGAGCTCAAGAAGATTATTGCAGGGAAAAGGAAAGATCACTAGATAAGGATTGATGCTTTTATCTTACCTCATTCAATGTTGTTATCTGAGGCCTGTATGTTTTAACTTCTAAATATTTCAAGTCATCTTTAATATGATATTGCTGTATAGGTTTTCCCCTTAATACAATTTTGAAGTTCGTGAATGTTCTGAGGTACAGAATGGAAGCATATGCCTGACCAAAAGAATATGGTTGAATTAGAATCGTCTCAGTCTGTCAAACCAATAATGCTGAAAACAGAACATTCCATAAAATTTTGATAAGTTACCCTCAATGAATAGCGCATACGGTAAGATATATGGGATTGTATTTTCTGTTGTACTTTAGTTGACTTTCCACCGGCAGCTTCATCTCTCAACCGTATATCCTACATCAAACAAAAGAACCACAAATACTATGAATATTAGGATCCTCTAATCTATATCAATGAATATGTTCCCTCCAACTTTTGAAATAAAGTATATGGAGTACCCTGTTAACATTAATCTATTAAAATTGTACACAAAGTTTTGCATGCTTGATGTCACAAAAAACTTTGTGTATGTTTGCATTTGTGCATGTTTTAAGGGGTTGAAATATCATACAAAGCACTTTTATATTCATCATTGTGTAGAATAAGTTATAAGATAAAAGGATCATCTTCAGAATTGCTGAAAAAGAGAATTATAGCCAATTAGTGGTTATCAGGGCATAGTTTAACTGAGTTGACTTAACCAGTTAATGTGGAACACTATATCATTCAGTTATTCCGTTGAAATTCTGAAGTTCAGACATGTAGATGAATTTTTTTAGTAAATCAGTAATTCATAATAAGACAGTTCTTAATATATATAGCTAAAATATGTCCTTAAGAAAGCTTCTACAATTTACGTTCTTCTGAATAAGTATGGCATACCTCATCAT